CAGTGTGATGGTCTGGGGCTGCTTTGCTGCCTCAGGACCAGGACGACTTGCTGTAATTGATGGAAGAATGAATTCTACTGTCTACCAGCAAATCTTGAAGGAGAACGTCCGGCCATCAGTTTGTGCGCTCAAACTCCAGCGCTCTTGGAGCATGCAGCAGGACAACGATCCAAAACACACCAGCAGGTCCACCTGAATGGCTAAAAAAAACCAAAATTAAGGTTTTGGAGTGGCCAAGTCAAAGTCCGGATTTAAATCATATCGAAATGCTGTGGTGTGATCTTAAACGGGCCGTTCATGTTAGAAAACCCTCTAATATTGCAGAATTGAAACAATTCTGCAAAGAAGAGTGGGCCAAAATTCCTCCAAAGACTCATCACCAATTATCGTAAACGCTTGATTTCAGTTATTGCTGCCAAAGGTGGCACAACCCGTTATTAGGTTCAGGGGGCAATTACTTTTTCACAGAGGGCCAGACAAGTTTGTAATTTTTTCTCCCTTGGTAAATAAAATCATCATTTAGAAACTGCATTTTCTATTTCCTTGGGTTGTCTCTGTGTCATACTAAAATTGGTTTGATGATCTGAAACCTTTGTGTGTAAATATGCAAAAAACACAGAAATCAGGAAGGGGGCAAATACTTTTTCACGGCACTGTATGGCATCAAACATTTGACATTAACATGTGTTGTCAAACAGTGTGTTGTATGGCAACAAGGATGGTGTAATGTGAATGTTGTAAGAAGACATAATCCTGATCACTGTCTTAACCTGCCATTAGTTTGCCAGCAGTGACACATTTGGATGTATCAACGTCTCACTGCTTTACCTTTGAATTTTCACATTAAACCCAGCATGTGTACCATATTTTCCCGACTATAAGGCGCACTTAAAAACCTTTAATTTTCACAAAAAATCGACAGTGCGCCTTATAACCCGGTGTACCGTATGTGTTACTTCTGCGTGTGCTTACTGACCTGATTTTATAAAGCCAAACCACACAGCGTGTGTGATACGCTGTGTGGTTTGGGGAGTCAACAATGACGTTTAACTCTGTTATTGTGGCACAATTTGAAGATGTTCAACAACTATTGCTACAGTATGGTTGTCTAACCCAAATCCGTGCAACGTCGCGTCATGCCTCAAACACCCTAAGACTCTGCGTTGTGTTTTTGTATTGTCGATATATGGTGCGATGCAGGATGACTCAGACCCATGACTGTTGATGTTTTCGTGGTCAAAAACTCTTTTTATTTCTCTTTTTATTTCTCGTTGTTCGCCTCCGGAGAGGCGAACAACAACAACAGCGTTCTCCAGTGTCCAACTTAGGTCACTACCCTTTTCCACAAATCTCCGTACCTATTGATCTGCAACTCCATGCGCACCCGTCTTACCGATATTGTCAAAACCCAAGTGAAACAAACTAATTCGGGGCTTGCCATCATTCTGGGTGGATTAACCACAGAATTCCAACCGCTAAATATTGGTGTTAAAAGGGTGTTTAAAGTTAAATTGCGAGCTGTGTCGGAGCATTGGATGACAGAAGGCGAACACACATTAACCAAGACAGGGAGGCAACGTCGGGCAAGTTACGCCACTATCTGCTTATAGATCGTCGATGCCTGGGCTAAGGTATCAGTCTCAAATGTCGTCCGAGCTTTCACGAAGACCAGAATCATCACTGAACAACTAATAGCAGCAACAAGACTTGACTCGGATAACGACGAGAGGGATCCGGACATGCTTAATTGTTCCCCTTAATTGTTTCGCTGACTGTTTTGTTTAGCTTAATGCGCCTTATAACCCGGTGCGCCTTATGTATGAAAATATTCCCGTTCATTGATATTGCGCCTTATAATGCGGTGCGCCTTATGGTCTGAAAAATACAGTAATTCTTGTATGACCTCACAGACAAGTTTTAATTTCTGCAGTTTTTTTTTTTAAACAAAATATTTGGTGAACATCTTCATCATGTCTGTTGACTGCAGTTCACATTGAATATTATATTAAAAAACTAATTAAAGCTTGGAAGTCAAATATATTTTCATTTATTTTCTGGGCCAAGATCTTACTAAAAAAGCTAATGCTAAAGCTAAAAAGCCTTTACTATAAATTCATTGTTTTAAATTATTAAATTAACAAAGTAAGATTATCATATCAACCCAAAGTTGTCACGTTGTCACAAAGTTGTTTTTGGCTCTACGCCCTTGTACTTGAAAAACGTCCTTGTGTCCTTCCTGGGGGTTGTGTTGGTTAGATGCAGGGTTTTCATGGCAGCGGTCAGAACTGTTTTCAGGGGGTGTTGTGATGCAGATGTTCTCTGCAGGAGGTGCATGAATGTGTGAGTGTTCTGATCCTAAAAGAGGAGGAGGACAACGCAAACACATTTGTTTATGCTGGTCACTGGCCTGAGTGAATTGTCGCTACAAAGAATGTTATCCTGGTGTGGGTCTATGTGTGACACAACACACAGCTCTTGTGTTTATGAACTCTATACATTTGTTGCCATAGAATCAGAAATGTAACATCACCATTTCTGTCAAGCAATGTTAAAAAACGTAATATTTGTAGTAGAAACCACATTCATTCCTTTTGTACTTCATTTCACTTCATTGAGGGATTGCCACATGAGGAATGCACACCTGTACACGTTTATGTGCAGAACAGGAACGCGTAGTTCCTGCACTATTTATCCCATAGTTTCCATGAGCTGTTCTGCTTTTGTATACTTGTGCTTGACTTGACCTTGTCGATGACACAGGCACACGTTGCGTGTGTGTGTTTAGATCTGTGTGACATACTCTTCATATTATCTCTTTGCCTTAGACACGGAACACGATGTGCGGGCGAGGTGGCAGCAGCCGCAAACAATTCCCATTGCATTGTGGGAATTGCCTACAATGCCAGGATAGGAGGTGAGCTGATTGTCTAATGTATTTGTGTCAGTGGAAACTTGAAAACAATTTATAATCAAAATATTTAGCTGCTTAATTAAAAATATATTCAATGCAAAACATACATTCTGTAGACACAGAACCATGCAGACAGGCAAACACAAACCGTAGCGGTAGTGTAGCAGATAGCACGCCTGCCTCGGAAGCAGAGAGTTCTGGGTTCGATTCCCAGAAGAACCACCTGCTTGGTGCTTGCTACGGGCAGCCTGTTAACAGGAAGGAAAGTAAGGAAGGAAGAAAAGAAAGTGAACTACTTGTCATTGTGACACTGCACACAACAAAGTGTGACCTCTGCTTTTAACCCATCACCAAAGTAAACAGTGGGCAGCTTTAAGCGCCCGGGGAGCAGTGTGTGGGGACGGCGCCATGCTCAGAGCACCTTAGTGGCAACTTGGCCGCTGGTGGACTTGAACCTGAAGCCTTCCTTAACCACTAGGCCACCACTGCCCAAAAAATACATAAAAGCTGCTAACACAACAATTTCCCAAATATGGGATCAATATCGTACTTGTTTATGTTTTAATGTTTTAAAGTTAATCCCTAGACACTAAACCTAAATATAAATCATGTGTGAATGTTTGTGTAAATTACTAAATATATATGCGTTTGTATTTGTGTGTAATATGTATGTGCCTGTGTTTGCTAATTTGGATATGTGTGGCTGTGTGATAAATCTTTGATAACAGACAGTTGATTATTCTCGTGTGCCAGGTGTTCGGATGTTGGATGGAGATGTAACAGACATGGTGGAGGCCAAGTCTTTGAGCCTCCAGCCCCAGCACATTGACATCTACAGTGCCAGCTGGGGACCTGATGATGACGGGAAGACTGTGGATGGCCCAGCATCACTGGCCAGACAGGCCTTTGAGAATGGCATCCGCATGGTGAGAATGTGCTCGTGTACACACAAATTTGAATTTGTTACAAAAAATGCAATGTTTATAGATGAGTACAAGTCAATTAAATCAAATTGAAGTAAAGATGACATTAATGTTTGGTCAGGGATGGAGCTAAAGCTTTTTTCTGCTTTAGCGCTAAGCCGACTTCAGCTCTATATTTCAAGACATAACGTCTGTATAATCAAACTGTCCGTTGTGCCTCCACTTTATATAGTAAAAGAAAAGGCCATATTTCCCAGATAAGTGTTATTTAACACCATTTTCATTGTGCTGCTCTCATCTAACAACATAATGAAATATAAAGGAAAGTGAACTCCTTGTCATTGTGACATACACCACTGCACCCAACGAAATGTGACATCTGCATTTAATCCATCACCAAAGTGAACAGTGAGCAGCTTTTTGATCACCCAGGGAGCAGTGTGTGGAGAAGGTGCCATGCTCAGAGGTAACTTGGCAGCTGGTGGATTAGAACCTGCAACCTTCAGGACCCAAGTCCGTTTCCTTAACCACTAAGCCACCACTGCCCCACTAACTAATACAAATACACTTGATTTGGAATTGTCCCGACCCAAATCGTTTATTCACTTTAAAGCTGATTAAAACGTCTGTAAATTTAGTTGAAAGTTTATTTTTGACCCCTGGGAATGGGGATTAGACAAGACGAGATACAAACAAACACACACTCTTGAGGATGATGTGTGTTTCATCCTCTCATGTTTTAACCCCAAAATTGTTTGTACCTATGAAGTGCCCCCCGGACACCAGTTTATACGCATATATTCATTGCATATTCATGGGTTATTTTGCAAAAATAAAAGCTGCTCTTGCTGCTGGGTTTTTGGCTGAGTCTAGTGGAAAAGTTGTGACGTGGGTTAACTAAGGTGAAGCCAATAACTGGTCCAAACTTGTACCCGAACACATACCTGTATGCATACATCTTCACATTTTGAAAGTTTGCTACAGCTGGCTTTGTGCCAACTGACTAATCAGTTTGGGGGGGCTGGGGGTGCGGAGGGTTCAGCACTGGGAAATATTTATATCTCCGGAGGTTTAGAGTGGCAGCTCAGTAGTGTTGGGAGAAGCTGCCTTCTCTACTGACAGGCCTGCCTTTTAAAGATGACAGACGAAGGGTAGAAATTTGCTCCGCTGCGAGCATGTATTTGTGGTGGTGTGGCGTCCTGCTGTTTGTAAGTGCAGCGGAGTGATATGCCTGTGAAGAAAACATGTACCTGTGATAGTCTAGTACATGTCAGAGTCAGAGTTTATCTGGAGAAGCTGAGGTGTAAACGGCTCTACTGACAGCTGTGGTGAGGGTTACACTCGGGTCTTGTTAATGTGTGAAATACATTGTTGTTTACTGATGTGTGACTTTTTTTTTTTGCCGCCTCTCAACGGTACATCATAGGCAGGGCTCGAATTACCACGTGCATGCACCAGTTTGTGGACGTAAAATTGGAGCGGTACACGTAATTTGATACCCAACTTGCACCAGTGCAAGTTGCTTGTTCTACTGGTACCACCGGTAGAATTATCCAATAAAGAGCTAAAAATAAATTAAATTGGAAAAAATAGTTTCCAGTGTGTTATCTTTTTCTTCCTTGTTAAGTATTAAACATCCTTGGTAACCCAGAATCAGCCGATGCGGGGGTTACGTCTCTTTTCACTTCCTTGTATTACGTAACTTTCCCTGGAAACAAGTTGCTCTCCTCCCCGATAATTTGCTGATGATCATGTGACACAAATCATGTGTTCGGTACCCCAAATATGGTAAAAGCCGGTAACTTGCATGGAGGTCGCCAAAAGTCGGAGACCTTTCGAGAATAGATAGCTTTCCGATGACATCACACTACTAGCCATGTTCTGTAGTCCACCATCTTGTGCTGCAAAAGAGCATATAGATAGATATTAAATACATAAAAGAACACCGATAATGGTAAATACCTGTGTTGTGTGGGGTTCTACCAAACGTTGGGAATTGTAGTAAAGCAATAACGATACACTGTCATGTTTGGCCCAGTGTTTTTGTCATTAACATTTAAATGTAGAATGTCTTTGTTTTTGTAAATTTATTTGGCCTCACAAAATCATAGCAAGTTTACCGCAACAAAAGGTATAAAATCCTATAAAATACACCAAAAAGCATGGGTTCATTTTTCTGCTTACCTAATTTTAACCAAAATCTTACACAATTATCTTTTTAATTTGACAGAGTGCATATTAAACAATTATTGGATGAGCTTACAAACGCTTTAGAATAAATTAGGAATTTTAGGGTTAGACCAGAGAAATGACTTGCAGGCAAAAGAAAAATGAAAAGCAGCCGGTTAAAAACTAAACCATCTTTGGTTTGCACAGGAGTTTGGCAGAATTGTTTAGAGGCCAACCGGTAGTCCTCCTCCATGGCCTCCCCGAACTTTTCCCAGACCTGAGATTTTGCTTCCACGACTACCCGAGCCGCAGTCCGCTTGGCCTGCCTATACCCGTCGGCTGCCTCAGGAGTCCCACGAACCAACCAGGCTCGGTAGGACTCCTTCTTAAGCTTGACGACATCCCTTATCACCGGTGTCCACCACCAGTTTCGGGATTGCCGCACCATCAATGGAAGTGGAGAACATAGTCCACTCACACTCAATGTCTCCAGCCTCCCTCGGGACCTGTTCAAAACTCTCCCGGAGGTGGGAGTTGAAGGCCCCCTCACCGGGGATTCCACCAGACGTTCCCAACAGACCCTCACGATACGCTGGGGTCTGCCAGGTCTATCCAGCTTTGCCCCCCGTAAACGGAGCCAACTCACCACCAGGTGGTGATCAGTTGACAGCTCAGCCCCTCTCTTCACCCGAGTGTCCAATACATACGGCTGGATGTCAGATGACACGACTACAAAGTCGATCATTGCCCTCCGGCCTAGGGTGACCTGGTTCCAAGTGCACTGATGGACACCCTTATGCTTGAACATAGTGTTTGTTATGGACAAACTGTGACTAGCATAGAAGTCCAATAACAAAACACCACTCGGATTTAGGTCGGGAAGGCCGTTCTTCCCAATCACGCCCCTCCAGGTGTCACTGTCGTTGCCCACGTGGACGTTGAAGTCCCCCAACAGGACGATGGAATCCCCGGGAGCAGCACTGTCCGTTGAACCGCTATTAGTCTGATCCGTCACCTAGGACCTGTTTGCCTTGGGAGACCCTACCAGGAGCATTAAGCCCCCGACAACATAGCTCCTTATTTCATTTGGATACTCGAACCCCTCCACCACGTTAAGGTTACGGTTCAAGGAGGGGAGATTTGAATAATTTCCTCCTTAAACAGGCAGTTCATGCATTGTGCTACCGTTTCCTCACCACTCTTTCTCTGTCTCATTGCGTCCTGTCCTTTGAAGAGCTCAGCTCTTCTCTCCTCTGTTATGTTTGCTCCTTTCTGATCAGCCATTCAGTCACAGAGTCTACACCTGCTTATCGCCACCTGATAGAAGGCCTGTTTTCAAGGAACTCTGTTCCATCTTTTATTCCTGTAGATCCCTGTGTGCAGCGTGTATATTATACTGCTAACTGTATTTTCAGGTCAATTTGTCACATAGATTTTCTGCGGACTCCTGGCTGAACTTTGTTGTCATGACTCATTTTCTCATCATCACTTTACTAACCTCTGTGTCCAGATGAGGGTAAAGATTGATCTCTATCTATCCATCTATCCAACCATCCATCCATCCATCCATCTATCCATCCATCCATCCTTCCATTTTAATAATTATTGCTTTATTGTGCTATGAATTGAAATGTTGGGAAATTAGTATGAAGTGACATAAAGAGAACAATGACTATAACTGGATAATGTTTAAATAGTAATAGGGAATGTTTGGTCCTCAACAAGAGTAGACGATCTGATTTTTTACCGTCAAGCATGGCGGTGGCAATATAATGCTTTGGGGGTGCTTTTCAGCCAAGGGGACGGGACACCTCCATCACATTGAGGGGAGGATGGACGGGGCCATAACATTTGAATGGCATACACATAAGTTCGAAGGCTACATGCCTTCCCTGAAGAAGGATCGAGGATGGGTGTTTCTTCACGACAACAACAATATTTTCACCTTATTTTGGTATGATTGAATCCCCACACACTGCTCCCCGGGCGCTTAAAGCTGCCACTGTTCACTTTGGTGATGGGTTAAAAGCAGAGGTCACATTTCGTTGTGTGCAGTGGTGTGCTGTGTCACAATGACAAGTAGTTCACTTAAAAAACAATCTCATCTTTACAGAGCATGCACTCACCTCCAAGACCTTCAGGCATCCATTGTTTGTTCTTGAACTAAAGCAATTATTCTGATTTTAATTAATTAAAATACAGTATATTTTAGTTGATAATATGCATCTGCTTTAAACAGGGAAGGAAAGGACGTGGCTCCATCTTCGTCTGGGCCTCAGTCCATCATACTGTAAAATAACATACATGTCAAAAAACATTAAAATAAGATAACTTTCAGATTAATCTCTGTAATTTTGCAGTATTAATCTGTCATTTTAAAGAATTCCAAGATTTAAAAATGTTCATTGGACAGTGGAAAAAAGGAGAGTATATTAAAAATACATCAAAAACAGCTGCATTTAAGGCCAAGGTCTGTAAATTAAGGGTATTTAATAGTCATTTCAGGAAACCGTCTTGTCCATCTACACTGATTTGCTGCATATGACAGAAAAATAGTAAGAATTGATTAGAGTGTGAGTGATGTAGTAAGTGAGCGTGAGTGTGCGCGCACGTTGACATAGTCCATTAACTGTTTTTAGTCCAGTCCTCTAATGACGACTCACACAGGAACTTGGCTGAGCTTTTCTTCACTCTCTGATCTGGTTTATTCTAACATACAGTAAGTGACGACAAAGTAACAACACAAAGGTTTGTCTTGCAGACTGACTTACAATGGGGCAAGTAAGTGTTTGGCCCCTTGCTGATTTTGCAGGTTTGCCCACTTACAAAGAATGCAATGATTTATAATTCTAATCATATGTATATTCTGACAGTGAGAGACAGAATCCTAAAGAAAATTCCAGAAAATCACATTATATGAATTTATTTAAATTGATAACCATCTGTTGAGGAAAAACAAGTATTTGACCCCGTGGACAAACAGCATGTTAATATTTTGTAGAAAAGCCTTTATTGGCCAACACAGATGTCAAACGCTTTTTATAGTTGGTGGCAAGGTTTGTGCACATTACGGCAGGGAGGTTGGCCCACTCCTCCCTGCAGACAACCTCCAAATCATTCAGGTTCCTTTAATCAAACAGGAATTTCTGCACATTTACAGTATTAAATTAAACACTGTACATCAAAATACACTAATAGGTATAATTAAAGATAATATCTGTAAATGTAGGTTATTAAACAATCATTTTAGTAAACTGAACAAATACTGTTACAATTTAATTTGAGAGAAAAACAAGGATAGTAAGTCTCAGCTCGCTCACTGAGGGAAGGATGTGTTGGTCCAGAATTTGCCCTACAAACACGGCAAGTTGAGTTGAGTTCTATTTTGGTCTCATCTGACCACATCACCTTCTTCCAGGCCTCTTCTGAGTCGTCCAGGTGATCAATGGCAAACTTCATGCGGGCCTGTACATGTTTCTTCTTGAGCAGGGGGGCCTTGCGTGCGCTGCAGGATTTCAATCCATGACGGCGTAGTGTGTTACCAACTGTTTCTTTTGTAACTGTGGTCCCAGCTGCCTTCATTTGATTCATCAGTTCCCCCCTTGTGGTTTTGGGATGATTCCTCACTGTTCACATGATCAGGGACACCCCACGAGGCGAGATCTTGTGTAGAGGCCCAGATCGAGGGAGGTTGGGGACAGAGATAGGAATGTAATCACAACTGAGGAAAGTGTGCTGAGAAGATGGAAGGAATACTTTGAGGAGTTGTTGAATGAGGAAAATAATGAGTAAATGAGGGAACATAGGAATGAGGAACCAGAGACTATTTGGAAGAAGGTAGATCCATGTTATTTGTCCTTACCATCTCCATAGAAAGGATGAAGTAAGAAAAGCCCTGAAGAGGATGAAGTGGAAAGTCAGTCACCCGATGACATACCAGTGGAAGTATGGAAGTGCTTAGGAGAAGTGGAGGTAGATTTTCTGACTAGGTTGTTTAACAGAATTTTAGAGACTGACATGATGCCTGATGAGTGGAGGAAAAGTGTTCTGGTGCCAATTTATAAGAAGGGTGATGTGCAGAGTTGTAACAACTACAGAGGGATAAAATCGATGAGCCATACAATGAAGATTTGGGGCAAGGGGCCAAATACTTATTTCCCCCACTGTAAGTCCACAATGTTAAGGTGAACGCAAAGCCCTTCAATGACACTGTTTTCAACAACTTTTTACCTTCTAATCTTTGCCCTTTGCTTGTCCTTGGGCTTTTATTTTTTTTGCGAGAAAGTTGTGGTCCATTTGAGTTTAAGTCGAAGTGTCAGATATCTCCTATGAGGCAGTGTATCACAGCTGGAATGAGAAGTTTCAGGTTTTACTAAAGCCTCCTGATCCTCACGACTTCAGTCACTCTTCTGCTGACTCTCTTTTTTCTTCAACCCATTCACTCTTTTCCCAAGCTCTTTCAAATACTTTGGAAAAAAAAAAGGAAAAGTCAAAATAAAAAAAACTCTTACAGTTATTTAATGGTAAACCCTATCCCTTTAGTTTTCTTTGCTATTGCTTTTCAATTATATCCAAAATTATTTAATCTCCTCTTGTCTGCCTCCTCTTCTCATCTTTCTACAGATCACAACAGACTTAAGACACCGGTGCACAGACAGTCACACAGGGACATCGGCCTCTGCTCCCATGGCTGCTGCAATTATCGCCCTGGCCCTGGAGGCAAAGTAAGATCCATTTAACCTTGGCCCTTCATTTCATTCCTTTATCCCATTATTTTCCTCTTTAAAAGCCCAGAAGTTGGCACTTTGCTGAAATGTTTTAAATAAAATATTGAGCAGGGTATTATTTGGGGAGAAGGACTTGTCCTCTGTGGATGTGCATTTTTTTTGTGTTGTCTCTGTGTGTGGTTACATGCATCCCTTTTGTTCTAATTTGTCTGTGCTGTCATTATTAATTCCAGTGGTTTTGTAAGAAAAAAAAATCTAACATGTCAGACATTCTTGTCAGGGTTCGTTAGGAATCTCAGACCTCTCTTAATGGTCATTGACTTTCTGACAAACAGCACAAGCCAGAATAGTTGTTTTACTGCACCAGGGACTCCTGTGTCTGTCTAACCTTTTTTAGGACTTAATCATCAGATGTAACAATCTGCTTTTAACAAACAAGGCAATGCTATTTAAAATGCTTTAACGTTTCTTATCTAAATGCTTTAACACTTCTTATCTGCTTTAACATTTCTTATCTATCGTCGGTTCCATAGTGTAACAGTTAGCACGCCTGCCTCAGAAGCAGAGAGCAGAGACTCCTGGATTCAACTCCCAGAGGAACCACATGCTTGGCACTTGCTAGGGGCAGCCTGTTATCAGAATATTTGCTGCTAACACAACAATTTCCCAAATATGGGATCAATATAATACAAATTTATTTATTTTTTATTTTATTTTCAGAAATGTGTTTTTGTCAACATGCCACATTCATAGCCAGTGGTGTGTTGTAAGTTAACTTTAGATGTGTGTTAGTAGCTCTACTGATAATTTAGCACATCAGTTGTGTGTGTACTTATGTTGCTTGATATAGATATGTATGTTTTTACAAAGTTATACTCTTACTGCATACTGAGTTTTTACTCCACCAAAGCAGGATGTACTTACATTCACAACATCTGCAGTATTGGAAAAGTTTCTGATTTGTTTTTTTTTAACAAAATTATTTGTAAATGTTAAAATTCAAATATAGTTCAAATAGTCAGTCTTTATAACATACAGTGGGGGAAATAAGTATTTGGCCCCTTGATTTTGCAGGTTTGCCCACTTACAAAGAATGCAACGATCTATAATTTTAATCATATGTATATTCTAACAGTGAGAGACAGAATCCCAAAGAAAATTCTAGAAATTCACATCATATGGATTTATAAAAATTGATAACCATCTGATGAGGAAAAACAAGTATTTGACCCCCTACCAAACAGCAAGTATTCTGGCTCCTACAAGCCAGTTTGTATTTCTTTAAGACAGATCTCCAATCCCAACTAATTATCTACATTAAATACACCTGCCTCACCTCGTTACATGTATAAAAGACACCTGTCCACACCCAAACAACCAGCATCCAACATGAAACGATAGCTATCTGCTAACCGCTATTAGCTTATGTGATATAGCAATAATTTATCAGAGGAATGCTAACGTTAGCTTCAAGGTTGTCTACTCGAGGTATGAAAATTATTTAAAATATCATTCACATGCGTTATCTGGGACACTTACCTCAAACAGCGTGTGGTTCACAATGTCCTTTGTAGCTGTGGACACTAGTAGGCCATAAGGTGAACCCGATTATCGTTTCATCTCGCTCCGACGTCTGGGAACTACACAATCTCAACATCATAAAAAAGAACGAGTTACGTTAAACTTACAGCAAAAGGTTCGTCACAAAATATCCTGCCCGTTTTTTATATAGATGCATTTTATAAAGAACTAGTGTCTTCAGCTTATATTTTTTCACAGGGACGGGCAACAGGACACACATCATTGACAGCATACCCACCATCAAACATGGTGGTGGCAATATAATGCTTTGGGGGTGCTTTTCAGCCAAGGGGACGGGACACCTCCATCACATTGAGGGGAGGATGGACAGTGTCATGTACCATGGAATTCAGGACCAACACCTCCTTCGAAGAGGACCTTAAGGGTTTAAAAAAATCTGGGTGCTAACTTTAACTTGGACTACTCAACATTTGCACTACTTTGCAAATATGTATGCCACCTGTATGATCAGCCAGCTACTGAAAATGTCAATGAGGCTAGGTACAAGACTTTCTGTATGGCATCATCAGCCTCGCCAGAATTGTCTATTCCCCCCACAAGTGATGCCTTCCATCAGCACTGCAAAAAAGGCAAATTATCAGGCTGCAGTCATGAGGTCCTGCATCAAACAAAATATAGGTGCTCCATCACCTGGTGGATATGGTTGGCACAAGATGGAAACCTACATGTCACATGGATGATTTCTGTGCTAGTCACAGTTTATCCACAACAAACACCATGTTCAAACATAAGGGTGTCCATCAGTGCACTTGGCACCAGGACACCCTAGGCCAGAGGGCACTGTGAGACAGGTAGGTGTTCCTGTGCAGGAGGTGTTGCAACTGTGCAAACACAAAGGAAATCAAGGAGAAGGAGGATGACTGCCCTGACACTGACAGTGAAGACTAACGTGTCATGTGTAGCCTATTGCATCAGAGTTATATTGCAGTGGTTGCATTGTTAACATTACCATTCATTTCCTTATGCTGTTTTGTACAGTTTTATATATGTTTTAATAAAACATATATTTCCACTCTTCATCTTCTTCAGGGCTTTTCTTACTTCTTCCTTTCTAATCTGCCTTCTTCCAAATAGTTTCTGGCTCCTATGTTCCCTTTCATTTTCCTCATTCAACAACTCCTCAAAGTACTCCTTCCATCTTCTCAGCACACTTTCCTCAGTTGTGATTACATTCCCATCTCTGTCCTTAATCAACCTCACCTGATGCACATCCTTGTGCATGTTAATATTTTGTAGAAAAGCCTTTATTGGCCAGCACAAATGTCAAACCGTTTTTATAGTTGGTGACAAGGTTTGTGCACATTTCCGCAGGGATGTTGGCCCACTCCTCCTTGCAGACAGCCTCTAAATCATTCAGGTTCCGAGGCTGTCACCTGGCAACTCGAATTTTTTAGCACCCTTCAAATATTTTCACTTGGATTCAGGTCTGGAGACTGGCTAGGCCACTCCAGAACCTTGATGTGCTTCTTCTTCAGCCACTCTTTTGTTGCTTTGACAGTGTGCTTAGGGTCGTTGTCGTGCTGAAACACCCATCCTCGACCCATCTTCAGCTCTCTCACTGAGGGAAGAAGGTGTTGGTCCAGAATTCCACGGTACATGGCCCTGTCCATCCTCCCCTCAGCGCAATGGAGGTGTCCCGTCCCCTTGGCTGAAAAGCACCCCCAAAGCATTATATTACCACCATCATGCTTGACGGTGGGGATGGTGTTCTTTGCGTTGTACTTGGTGTTCCTTGCCCTCCAAACACAGTGAGTTGAGTTGAGCACAAAAAGTTCTATTTTGGTCTCATCTGACCACATCACCTTCTTGCAGGCCTCTTCTGAGTCGCCCAGGTTGTCAATGGCAAACTTCATGCGGGCCTGTACATGTTTCTTCTTGAGCAGGGGGACCTTGCGTGTGCCGCAGGATTTCAATCCATGATGACGTAGTGTGTTACCAACTGTTTCTTTTGTAACTGTGGTCCCAGCTGCCTTCAGTTGATTCATCAGTTCCCCCCTTGTGGTTTTGGGATGATTCCTCACCGTTCGCATGAACAGGGACACCTCACGAGGCAAGATCTTGTGTGGAGGTCCAGATTGAGGGAGGTTGGCGGTGGTGTGGTGCTTCTTCCATTTCCTGATTACTGCACCGACAGTTGAGCTTTTCTCTCCAAGTTGCGTTCCGATTCTCTTGTAGCCCATTCCAGCCTTGTGCAGGTAAACAGTCTTGTCCCTGATGTCCGTAAAAAGCTCTTTGGTCTTGCCCATGGTGGAGATGTTGGATGCTAGTTGTTTGGGTGTGGACAGGTGTCTTTTATACAGGTAACGAGGTGAGGCAGGTGTATTTAATGTAGATGATTAGTTGGGATTGTAGATGTGTCTTAAAGAAAAACAAACTGGCTTGTAGGAGCCAGAATACTTGCTGTTTGGTAGGCGGTCAAATACTTGTTTTTCCTCATCAGATGGTTATCATATTTATAAATTCATATGATGTGAATTTCTGAAATTTTCTTTGGGATTCTGTCTCTTACTGTTAGAATATACATATGATTAAAATTATAGATCGTTGCATTCTTTGTAAGTTGGCAAACCTGCAATATCAGCAAGGGGGCAAATACTTATTTCCTCCACTGTATTTTTCCTTTAGGATCACCCCTACTCGAACTGTATAACATTTACCTTTGTAAAGTAGCAATGTAATTTACACGCACAGTTGTGTATTTTATTTGTTGAACGAAGTGGAGCTTGCAGCAGGAGATGTTCCTTCACCAAACCTGATGACTTTTTAATCATTACTGACCAAAATATGTCCTTGTGTACAGTCGTTGTAGTACACCAGAAACCTTAGCAAAGTGAATATTTTTAATGTTTGTTTATGTATCTGTGAGTGGCGCTTTGGCCCAGAGGCAAGGTCTCTGTCACTCCTCTTGTTCTCTGTCTTCGACCTATAGTAGCCCAATTTCCATCAATACCCTGTAGGTCAACAGCACTGTTAGCGGTCATTTTTGACCCAGGCTCTGACCGATCCGGTATGGAAATAGTTTGATTTCTCATTATTTGATTTGGCAAAGGTTTTACACCAGATGCCCTTCCTGACGTAACCCTCACCATTTATGTAATGTGGAGATTGACACAAAGGGAAGAGCAGAATGTCCAGAAACTGGCCTCTGAGCTGCTCTGCTTTGTATCGGTTCAGAACTTTCGTCACGTTTTTGGCCTTTAAAAAATTTGAATAATCATATGTCCATGTAGATGTGTTATGCACAGTGGTACATAATATTCCATCTATGCTCCACATATGTAAGTGCTTTGTTTTATTGCTTAAAGTTCCACATAATTAAAGGTAAAAGTTATTTCCTCTTCACTATTAAATAAGTTGTTTGTATGTTTTGGGACATGACCTCTGCTTTATGAATG